TTTCTAAGCCACCCAACAAGCATGCGATCCACTGAAAACCAATCTGCACAGGCAGGATTCGTTTCAGTTCTTGCACCATCAAGAACAAGCTTCAGAGGTGCATTACTAGTGCCTTGGGCATGAGATTCGAGACAATTTTTCTACATCAATGGGAGAACAATTGATTCCCAAACTAAATAATTGTTGTGATCCAACTATACAGCTGTATTAGAAGAGTTAAATAGAGAGTAGGTCTTGGTAATAGAGGACGATTCGTTGGATGCTAAGGTAGACATGACCGCAACTAGCTCTGATGCCAAGGAAAAAGAAACAGTAAAAGATGAATAAAATATGCTAGAATCCAAATGACTAATAGGGCCCATGTTCTTCTTTTATAATGCTCAATAAAGTATTTTAGAGTAGTAGCTCCTATGAGATACAAACAAGTAGCACTATATGGTTGTACACTTTACAACAAATATAATTTACAATATTAGGCTCTAATAGTTATTGACATATTTGTATCACTATGTTGCTATTACATTTTTTCATGTGAGAGCTCTAGAGAAGGCATGCCAAGAAAGATTTAAAGAGAGTAAAGTTACATTGATGAGTTGTAGTATTGCCATTACTTTCATTTGTGTTGAATTTAGTATATTTCCACCTATAAAATATTTGTTGTATTTTCTTTTATGATTTATTTGTTGTGACTTTATTATGAATTGTTGATGGGACTTGAGTACTACAATTTTCAAATCTCTAGTAGCAAGACTTTGAGCACTATAAGGTATAGGTTATGAACAAGTGTTAGGGTTTTCTTTGTTTTAATTGAATTATATTGTGATCAATTAGTGACGTGTCTTTAATTATAGTTGTGTCTGGTTAAGTGGTTTAATATGCAGTGTTGATTTTAAAACCATCGTAGTGATTTATCAATTGGTTGAGTTCTTTTCCTATCATGGCTAGTGTTGTAAATAGATAATCTTAAGTAAATGAAGAAGTGGCAAAATAGTTAAGTATCTGGTAAAGTTAGGTAGGGCATTACAAAAGAGCATCGACGACAATGAAGCAACAATGAGAAAGGGCGAGGTTTAGAGTCAAGGGGCCACGGAAGAGCAGTGGGGGAGGAAAAGGCGAGATCGGAGGAGTGGAAGCTTTGTTTTCTTTTTCAACTAGATAGCAAAATTACACCACTAAATACCTTAGAGTACTGTATGCACATTAAAAAATAGTTTAAAGTAGCGGATGCATCTTAATCCAAAAAAATTAACTTATAAAATATTTTAAGAGCAAAATTATATAAGATATATTTTAGGATATTGGATGCACCTGAAAAATATTTCAGGATACTAGATAAAATACAAAATACTTTAGAATACTAGACATGTCTAAGAAAATAATTCGGGTTGCTAAATACACCTAAATCCTTTATTCTTTGGTGACATATTATTACTTCTTCCTTTTTTGTAAATAAAAGTTTAGGTAAGTTAGATTTAGGGCTCACAAGGACTAGGGCTATTATTACTCCATTTCAATAATAGTATAAGGTGGCACAACTTGCATGGTTAAATTAGGCTGTGTTTAGGATCGTGTTTTAGCCATCCCAATGTCGCTTTTTAGGTGGTTAAGTCCGAAAACCATATTTTCTACTCGTTTGACTTAGTGTTTTTATAAATATACTTTTTTGGTCTTATCGTGTGCTAACAATAAAGTTGTATTTTGTTATGTCACAAAAAAAATTTCTATCTAACTGCCTTGCATTATTTGAAAGAAAAGGTAAAATTTCACTTTAAAACCCAATAACTTAATATTTGCAAAAATACTCTAAAAAGAATAAAAATTAACAAATAAAATTTAATGAACATAGGGAAAATGAAAGGAAAAAACCTTGAAAAATATGAAATCACAAAGAGGGAATATAAATTGGGATTTTGAAAACTTAAATTAGGAAGTTTAAAGAAGTTTGCAATTGACAAAAAGGGAAGAAAAACTTAATTTGAGATTTTAAAATTGAAACAAAATGACAGAAATACCCTTTTTCTTAAATCATGTTTAGAAATTAAGCATCTTCTCAAGATATTACTTTGTGCTCATTTTTTCAAGTATTCGAGTTAAAAAATGTGACTTTTAATTTGTATCACAAAATTGTTTAATACTACATTGAAATGTAGTTAATACTGAAATGAAAGTTGTGAATGCTCTGAAAGAGTAGCATTATTACTTATTAAACGAAAGTTATTAATACCTATTGAAATGTAATCAATATTTATACACAAATTGTGAACAATCAATAGTCAAAGCTAAGTATTTAACTTATATTTTTTTCGCGTTATATTAATAGTAAAACATTGGTGGTGATCTGTTTGGAATGACTGATAAACAACTTTTCAATTGTGATTTATGGGATACAAGGTAAATATGTGAGAGAAATTTTGTCTCAATTTACATGAAATGTATTTATAAGTAATTTTAATCATTGTGCCAAATAGGGCCTTAGTGGTCATCAATTTTGGATCAAATCACCAAGTGGCTCCATTTGCTTTTCAAGATCAAATTTGATTGAAAACCAAATCATAGTTTTAAAAGTAATTTTATTGTGTATAAAATAAGTATGTTAGAGAAATTTTAGCTCAATTTGCATAAAAACACTTTTCAAATTTTCTTTTTTTGCAAACCAAACACCCCCCAAATCCCTCGTGTCAAAACCTAGGGCAACTAGTTGCCAATGAGTCTAGTGGCTGGTTTGATGACTTTTTTTTTGAAAAAATAAATAGCATAGCTTTTATTTCATTTTAATTTCAAAATTTTAATTTAGATTTTATTCCCATTCTACATTATGAAATTTTAGCTATCTTTTTTGCTATTTGTATATTTCACATTTTTTTCTGTGATTTTCACTTAAATATATCTAATTTAGTGTTTTTTTAGTATTTATACTTTTTTTAATAATATATTAGCTCTTTTTATTTTTATAATTTTAATTTTAATGTTTCTCTTAAATTAATCAAATTATATACTCCTTTAGTCCTAAATATAAGACCATTTTGTAATGACACTACAAAGTAGGTCTTATATTTAGGACCGGAGGAGTACATAATATATATAATAAAACTCAGGTCCTTTTATCTTTTTAATTTTAATGTTTTACTTGTTGGAGGCTTTAACTTTAATGCTCTTGACTTGATAGAGATTAGTTTTAAACCCAAAGTGGTTTGATGATACTTTGAATTATAACTAAAAAAACTCATATCATTTTTTGTCATTTGGCATTTAAATTTACTTTTTAATTATGTAATCCAAACAAGTTTCAGTTTTTTTTTATAGAAGTTTATTCAATCATAAATCATATTACACTATTTGACTTTTATTCCAACTTAAATTTTTAAGAGTCAGATGAAATGAAAATTACTTTTGTGCTCACTAATACAAACACAACCTTAAATTGGTACAGTGCAGTCTGCTCATCTCACATGCTATTTTTTATTAGCGGAAAAATAACTTTAAATTATTTAAAAATTAAATTATTTTTAAAAAAACTGAAATTAATCTTTGTTAAATAAACTCCTATATTACTCAAACCCGAAAGAGATGCCCCTAGAGTTTTCTGCTTAGAGTCCTACTGTTTCTCTCTTTTGTTTCTTGGGTTTTTTTGTTTGTTTTCTGTTAGTTAGTGATTCATTTAATCATTAGAAAAAAAAAACAAAAGAATTTAAACAGCTTTCGAATTTTAAAATTTTCGCCAGAGGACTTCTAATTTGCTAAAAGTGGAAATCAAACTTGCCCTTGTTCATATCAAAGTCTTGCTAGAAGACTGCTGATTTGCTAAGAGTGGAGGTTGTCCTTCAACTTGATTTGGGTTGGTTTCTAGGGGTGGGTTTTTCCAGCCCTCGAGCCCCCAACCTTTACAATGGCTTGGTCCTCTTCTCTTCTACCCTTCTTATCTTCTTTCCCTCCACTATTTTTCCTTTCATATTTCAATAACTATTAAAAGAATTATTTTTATTTTTGGCAAAAATAAGTAAATAAATACATTTAAACTGTTAAATTTTAATTTGAATAATTTACAACTATAGATTATTATTTTGAAGCAATTTTTTTTTCAATTTTTTCATTACAGTGTGAATTGTTCATATCAAATTTTAATGGTTTATATCTATTTATTTATTTTAATCTAAAATTATAATAATATTTGTTTTTATAAAATATTAAATATGGACTCTTGAAATTCTCACCCAACAATTGTGATTGGTGAAGGGGAAAGGAAGGTAGTGGAATAGGGATGAGTATTCAGTTTTTCAGTTCGATTTTTGGTAAGAACTGAAACAATCGAATAGAGTCTATTTTAAATATCGAATCAAAATCGATTAACCAAATTAACCAGAATTGAATTAACTAAAATATTTTGCTTCGATTATTCAGTTAACCGAATATATAAATGTGAAAAATGAATTCAAATTAAGAAATAATAAAACAAAATCATAACCATTAATTAGTTATATTTCATTTTTCAATATGATTTATTATAATAATATTTATTATAACCATATTTATTAAATATAAATATATTTAAAGAGTTCACTTACATGCACATATGTATTTATTATAATAACATTTATTAAATATAAATATAGTATATATTTATTTTGGTTTTTTGGTTTTAATGAAATATTTTTTTAATAATTAAATCAAAAACTAAAAACCAAATTATTAAAAAAAAATCGAATAGATAATCAAAACTGAAATAACCGAATAGAAAAACTAAAATTAAATTTGCTCACTCTAGAGTGGAAGGAAAGAATAGGGGCAACTGCGCTTATTTTAATCCTGTCCGTCTTGGGAATCATCTAGTCCAATCTCAACCGTTCATGATTCAAAGCCATGCAACTAAATCATAGCCGTTGTTCATTTTTAATCCTGTCCGTCCAGCTCTCCGTCATATCAACGGGTCCCCCTCGCGGGCCTTTTTCGGTCGTCATCTGGCCGCCGTCTTCTCCCGTCGTCGCTCAAAGCTTCTTTGGTCGAACCCCTTCGTCTCCTTGCGTTTGAACCTATACTTTTGAATTCGCTGACATCACCAACTGCTCCTGTCTCAAACCCTAGGTGGAAGAGTCTCTGCATTTTCCTCGCTATTCATTCCTTTTTGGCTCAATGTTTCATTGATTCTTCATTTTGTTTGGATTTTTTGTGCTGATAACTTGAATTAGTTGAGTTCAAGGGGTCAAGGTAGTTGTATAATCATGCTGATTTTTAGTTGTCGATGAATATACAGAGACCAAGAGAAGGCCGTGATCCAAAAGCCTAACGCAACTTCCAGGAGTTGATTTTTTTTGGGGAAAAAAAAAAGCGACTGCCCAACAAAAACGTCATCGTTTCGGCGAGATACACACTCTGCGTCTTGCTCCGCAGACGACTTGAACGTTTTTAGTCTTAGTGCTTTGTTTCAGGACCTTGCCTTGTAAGCCAGATCTTCTAGGGTGCTGGACTCGGCTCCAGTACTAGCAATCGCCTCGCAATGGAATAAGGATTCCTTTATTAGGGGATTTTATTTTCTTTCTACTCAATTTTCTCTCTCCGCCATGGCCAACAACTCCAAAGAAGAGCCCAGAACCGCTCCCCAATCTGATCGCTGGTACAATCTCACGCTTGGTCCTTCCTTCAAAGATGAATCTTCCAACAAATACTGCACTCTGCGTTGTAAGTAATTGTACAGAAAAATTGGATCCTTCTTTCATATTTATTGGTTTATGGCAGTCAAATACGAAGGTTATGTTTGATTTTGTAATTATTTTTAGGATTTTGCCGTATTCATTTGTTTTCGTTATCGCCTATTTGGGGATTTAACCTGAGAAAGTTCTGAACTTTGTGTTGTTTAGATGAATTTAAACCGGCTTCCGTTGATAAGACTAAGCCAGGATTACTTCGCAAGACCAAGGAAAATAGGGTCTCTGTGGAATTTCAGAATAACCAAATTGGAAAACCTAAGGTGACATTTGAGGGGAGTAGCGAGGAATACAAGGAAAATGATGCTGTATTGTTCTTTGATGGCGAGACATTCCGATTGGAGCGGCTTCATAGGGCTGTAAAGCAACTGCGGCATCTTCGCTTGCCTGGTGAGTCTACAGCTGCTGCTGCTGCTGCAGCTGTGGCTGCTCCATCCGGGCCAGCTTTGGATATTCGGTCATCTCCTATTGGGAAGCCCACAAAACCCCCAGCTTCAAGTAGAAGCTCGGTTCAACCAGTAAGCTCTTACTAACCATCTAGCATAAATGGTTTTGCTGGTTGAGTGTTTCATTGCTTCAGTTTCAGTCCCACTGATTATGAAAAAAATGACGTAATGGAAAGTCTATTATTACAATAGATGAAGGGCTTTGTTGTCTTGAATGTTGCTTAAATCTATCAATTGTTATGTGTACGAACTAAGTAGCCTGGATGCTGGTACACGTTCGTTTTCAGTGCTGAAGATTTGGCTTTGGATTGCAGAAGGAATATGACCTAGGAACAGGAGAAATGTTAACTTCTTGCTACTTAGCTCTCCTGCATTACAGTTCATGGCTCGCCAAGGCCCTATCCAACTCTGCCAGTCTAGTCCCCCTGTCTGATTGCGACTAGATATTTTCTTTCATTAATAACTCTTCCTTCAAAAATAGAAAAGCAAAGGAGAGATAATCTTGATATGTTGTTTCTCTTTCCATGGGATTACTCCTCATTCTATGATAACGCTGATTATTTGTGTCTTTGAATGAGTAGTACTCCGCTTTCTTAGTACTTTTGCTGGTTTCTGTTCACATAATTGGTGGAATCCATGATTGAGGGAAAGAAAGAGGATTAATAGTGTAGTGAACCTGTACACATGTATTTCTGAGACCCACCACGTGGTCTTAGTGAAGTATAAACGCCCTTTGAATCTCTTTTCTTAGGCATTATTTGGATTTTGATCTTGGTCTTGGTCATCTCTTCTGTGACTGTAAAAGGAAAGCAAATAGTTTGTTTCTTCTTCCCTCCCTCTCCTCCCCCCCCCCCTTTCAGTGCCTTAACTGATGTCTGCTTTGATTGTGTGCAGATTGAGGTGGAACGTATTGATATTGGTGAACCGGAGAATACTGGTATGTATAATGTTATTAGGTTTCTATACATATCTTGAATTTTATGAATCATAGTCAATACTCCAGAGAAACTTACATGAGTATCAGGCTACATTATTTAGCTTCGGTCTTTTTTTAATTTCAATTTTATCCTATGACTGGTAACCTTTCCTTTGAGTTGATGACAAGATGTATGTTCTAAGTAGCTCATTTTCATTATCATGGTTTGATGCTGCCAGATACGATCTTTTGATATATGCTTTAATCCGAGAGGAGCTATGTGTTATATAATTCATTGCTTTTATAATCTATATTTTATTTTTATTGTATTCTCCAACCTGATGATTTTAGTGTTGTCATTATTTCTGCTGTTTGTTGCAATTGCCTGCTGGATCTTCTATATACAAAAGAATGATGTTGTTGAACATTTGCTATGTTATGACTTGAAGTCTTTTGAATTATTTTTATGCTTCATTTCTACCAACTTTTTAATGTAACCTCTGAATTACAATTGTCATTACTTCTTCCTAGTGTCCCTATGTTTTGATCTTTCCAGTTGACAACAAATGAGTACTAACCAGAGACGAATCCAGAAATATTTATTTGGGTGGGGGAGAACTCAATTAAACACGGGATGTCAAAACTCAATAGGGCTTTTTTTTTGGGTGTTTGAAAACCTGATATCAAAGGTCCTCTTCATGTTGATTAAGTGAATAAAACAGCTGCAGCACACCCCCCCTCAAAAAAATAAAAATCCTACCCTGGCATTAATATCTAAATACCTAGCAATTGAAGATGTGGGATGAAAATAACTTTGTAAACATCACTTTTGCAGTTGTAACATATTCTCTAAGAATTGGCGGTGGAATATGATATTTATTAATGAGTAATAATTGGAATCTACCCTAGATTAGGATGATGTATCATTAATTTTATAATTATCTTTTAAATAAGTGATTTAGATTAGGTTTAGATTTATGAAATTATTTTCTATTTAGTAGAGTTTCCTATTTGTGTAATTTCTTTTGCTTGAAGATTAAGTTAGGGTTTCGTTGCTTAGGGCTTTATAAATAGAGCAAGAAATATTTTTATTGTATTGCTTTAACTATGAATTGAATGAGATTGATATTTGAATATTTTCTCTTTCCCTTGAGTTTCTTTTCTTCTTCCTTTCTTTCTCTCCCTCCTCCTCTCTAGTCTCTATATTCTACCTCTCCTCTTGTTCCATCTCGTTTTACATCAATTGATACATGCTATGACATACTACCTATAGGTCTTAATACAAGAGCTAGATAACTCATTAGGAGATATTAAGAAAATTAGTTATTTGTAAAAATGTGTGTTGGTTTCTTTAAACTACCTTTTTTAATCATGTGCATTGAAGCTATCTCTTAGTAAGAACCCCTTACAGTCAATAAGAATACTTTAGAGAAGAAATTATAAATTTGGGAGACAAAGTGAATTGATATCTTATATTTAGAATGAAATCCAACCTCCCAACTAGCTATGATACATCTGTCTCTGCTGTCAGCCTTCTTCTTTGTTTATTGAATTCTTTGTCTTGGTTTTTCTAAACCCCCCCCCCCCCAAAAAAAAAAAGAGTGTGTCACGAATGACTAGATAGATAGTCTCCAATGATGCAGAGATTATTTTGGCCATTTACTATGCCATTCCTGTCCTTTGAAGTGCGATATGTCCATAAATTTTGATAAGAAGCACTGTGCGATAGTTTAAATTTTTGTTGATTTTTCTCTGACCAATTGCAATGTTTTACTCATATGGCAGGTATCAAATCTGGTGGTGCAAAGGTGTTGGCTGATAATCCAACTGAACCACCTACTGTTGGTACCACCTCACCAGGCAAAAATGAAGTTGAGGAACATCAAGATATAGATATTGATGATCTTTTTGGTAGTGGATCACCTGAGGAGGACAATATTGTTGAAGAAAAAGATAATGTTGGATTTGACATGAATATTCCCCATCAAAATGACACTGATGATGAGATTGCTGATGTTGATGATAGCGGAGATGAGGTTGACAAGGGACCCAATGCTGCAGAAGCTCTCAGAGCCCAGGTGAATGCTGAGGGGAGGGATGAACAGTCTTCTAGTTCTACCAGTAGCAGTGGAAGTGGAAGCAGTGGGAGCGGGAGTGGTAGTGGGAGCAGCAGCAGCAGCAGTGACAGCGAAGGCAGTGATGAAGACTCAGTTACCTCAGTCTGAGAGATTGGGTCAATGGTGTTGTCTTCCCTTTCCTCTTTTGGTAATTCCATGCAGATGATTCAGACATAGAATGCCAAGTTGGTATTTATTAAGTAGTGCTGGGCTTAAAGCCATTCAGAAGAGTTGGGGGGGGGGGGGGGGGGATGTATTTGGTAAGTAATGCCTGGCTTACCATCCTGGTTCAGAGGGGAGGGAATTTGTTAACCTTGATGCCGATGTGATTATCAATTTGGTGGGGGTGTTCAATGATTTGATGTATGAAATATTCTCTTATAATCCTGTTATTTTTGCATTGATGTTCAAATGTAAAGCTGATTTAAAGGTGGCAGTAACGACCCTGATCATCTGGTGACTTTTATATTGGTTGGATTTGATTGGCTTTAAGTGCTATGCTTCTTGCAGTTTCATGATCGAAAGCATGGCTTTAAAGAGAGGTTCCTCGATGGCTTTGGATCATTTTAAGGAACCATTCAGGTGACTTGTTGGATTTGAATGGTTTTAAATGCTATGCTTCTTGCAGTTTCATGATTGAAAGTATGGCTTTCTAGAGAGGTTCCTTGATGGCTTTGGATCTTGGTTTGAATGAGGTTGAGAACTGAGATTGAAATCTGATAATCAAGCGCTGCTTAATGCAGTTGTGGAAGGTTCTATGTTGCGTTAGGAATGTCCTGCTGGTTTGGAGGACTTAGCTGGTCTTCTCAATTTTAGGTTGTGGGGGATTCCTCGGTTTATGAACAAGGCGGCCGACTGGCTACAAAAGTTGTGTGCTATTGGAATACGAACTTTTAGTGTTAGATACCTAGAGATTCTGAATCTTGCGCAATGAGACAAGTAAATGTCTAATGTCTTGCACATCGCAATCTAAGGTGGAAGGGGCTGGGGGAATATACGTCGTAGTATAGGACTAGGTGAATTTTGGTTTTAATTTATATATTTTTAACGAGTTCTAATTTTGATTTTCGAGACCAAAAATCAAGGTTCGAAACTATAAAAATGAAAAACAAAATTCGATTAAACTATAATAACCAACAGAGATATTAGTCTACCTATAATTGCCATCGGTTGACACCTATCATCACCAATTGCTACCTCGGACGCTGTTACATGTTGCCACCGTCCGTCGTTACCAGCTAACTATTATGAGTCGTCATTGACTAATCACGCCTAGATGTACTCATAGGATGAGATGGGACTACGACAATTCCATTTTGGTGAACCAGGATCGGGTTCATCTTGCATCTCATTCCAATCCCGATAGCATCTTGTCCCATTCAAGATGGGACGCAATGGAGATTAGATAAGAATATTTCATCAATAAGTTTATTCAGTTAAAAACCAACTATACAATACCTAAGCAGTAGCTACATGCATGAAGAGATGGCAAAAAAAGTTATATGTATAAAATAAAAAAACTAATATATACATGCAGAAAATCCTTTCTCTGTTTCCCAAATAAATGCATGGAAAGAGGACAACAAGTAGATCACATTGCATCCTGAAGACAGGAATGACTTGTAATAAATAATCCACTAATCTCCTTTCATCACATTCATAGCATTTCAATGCAGCTACCTTCTCTTCCGAGATAAAATAATATGTAAACTGAAATAATTTAACATAAAATAAACAATATAAAGTCTTGTATTATTGAAAGAATTCTTGCTTTGCTTCAACCAGCAATACGTAGTAGATGATCAGACCTGAACTCCTTACAATCTTTATAAAAGCGAAGCATCAAAATCTCACATGAAACCTCTTCAAGGTGGTCACTTGCTAACCATCATCATCAGCTATCACCATTGGTTGCCGTAGTTGAACACCACCAATACTTCCAACCCTAGCCAGCACCATTAGCCATTGCTAACCACCGCCGTTGGCTTGGTTGATTATGTCAACCATAATCAACCACCACCATCGACCGATTGTTTTGTAACTTTATAAAATTATTTTCAAATTAACATAATCAAACATATTATTCTTTTATTTTACTTTGAAGAACAACTTTTAAAAAATTGAATTGCAAAATAGTTGTTAGAAATAAAAATTGGAAACGTATTTTTTTTTTGCTAAAGCATAGGTATCCTCTTATTGGAGGCAATCTTATTTGAAATACTGTTAGGCACTAAATGTGAGCACCTCTTCCAGTAGGGATTCAAACCTTGGTTCGTCACTTTGTGAGGGACTAGTCCCTTCCGCTAAACCCAACCCTGTTGGTAATTGGGAACATAATTAAATAAGCTCTACGTGTTTTCTTTTAAAATTCTCACTTCCGTACAGAAGTTAACCTACATGTGTGCGCATTATTCTTTTGTCTTTGGTATACTCAACACCTATGGAGCTAGTTGCACTAGTTTATTTTATGTCTTCTTGTCATGTGGTTAAGTCATTAAGCTCCATTGTCTGTAGTATCGGAACTATTCCAATAGCCAATTAGTATATTTCTTTTGTTGTATTTTAAGTTTTTTTCTCCTTTATGACCTCGTCAATTTATTGTATGACCTTGCTGCACATGACGCTCTTGATTTTTAAATCTAATTAATTTTTCCCTATCCAAAGGAAAAAGACTTTATTATTACTCCTCCGGTCCTAATTATAAGACCCAATTGACTTATTTGAGGAAATTAAGGAAGTAAGTTAAGTTGGTTATTTATAATAAATAAGTGTTGTCATTCCTAAAATATCCTTGCTAATTAAGTATATTGGTTAAAACTATTATTATTAGAAGGATTATCTTGGAAAAAAATACATAAATATAAGAGACAAAATGGATTGGGTCTTATAATTAGGACCAAATAAAAAGTCAAATTGGGTCTTATAATAAGAACCGGAGGAGTATTTTATATTGAATGTCACCTCGATGGATAATAAAATGACAAATACTACGACAAACGCGAATGTAGACAAAAGTTCTCGTAGTGCCTTGGAGCCGATTAGTCTGACAGCTCTTGTAAATAATTAACATTGTCTCCGGTACTTAACATATTATTTAATTCTAAATATAAAAAATTAATTTTGTCTGCCATACTTATCTTTTTTTTTCTTTAAGTTATTCCTTATAATTGTTACGCATGTTAATGATTTTCTCAAATGGTTGTTTTAGGCTTCTAAGTTCTAATAAACACATGATTAACAATAATATTTTAGAAATGACAACAATTATTTATTACAAATAACTAACTTAACTAATTTTTTTTAATCAACTCAAATTAGTTAACTACATCTTATATTAAGAATCGGAGGTATTATTACCTCTTATGATTAATATAAGAGTTAGTTTGACATTCAGTTTAGTTCTAAATATAAAAACTTCAATCCACTTTATCTCTCATTTTTATCTTTTTTTTTTAAAGGTAATTCTTGTATTAATTGTATATGTTAAATGTTTTGATAGTTCTAGCTAATATGCATAATTAGTAAGTATATTTTAGAAAAGACAATACTTATTTATTACAAATAACTAACTTAATTTATTTTTTTAATTTATTCAGATTAGTTAACTAGTTTAAATATGAGTTACTATTGAGATTAACATGCAAGTACTCAATTAATTCATTTTCAAAAATTAAATATAAGTCTTTTTTTTCCCTTTTGCCAACGAAATGGAAGTCAAGTTGGTTATCTTTAACATGATAGTAACTTAAATTTCACCATCATTAACTATAATTTATTTTCAGCGGTTATCTTTCATATTTTTCCAGTTCGGGTTCTTTGCACTTCAATATAATCGCTCAAGAAGTTTCATGAATATTTGAGAACCATACAATTCCCTCAAATTTAATCAGGTACTCGACAACATATCAACTCCGTCAAGTTTACTCACATGCTTGAGAACCTTTATAATCTTTAGGTTTCAATGGGCATTTGACAATCACTCTCTCTTACTTTCAGGTAAGATTACAATCAAATGATTATAATAAATATAAAGCCCAACTTATTTCTTCTTTCAAATAAGTGATAAATAACACCTAACCGCAATGTCAGGACTCTCTTTTCTTCTCTAATGAGTACAGAGCACTTCAGTGCATAACAAGAAGATCTGTAAAATGAAGCTCGGAGACGATTGCAGAAGCGTTTCAACATGGGTTTGAGAATTCTTAATTAGTTTTCTTGATTGAAATCCATTCCTTCTATGGATAATAATGGTTGGTGATGACCATTGAACCTCAAACTTTTGCCTATTATAAAATTGCATCCTCCTAATACTCCCTCGGTTGAAAATATAAGCTAAAGTTAGCTTATTTATATTTATCAAGACATGAAATAAAAGCAGTTTAAAACAATAAATATGTAAGGCATATATATATTTTCAAATATATCCTTATTAATGAGAGAATAAGTAAAAAATAATAAATAAAAAAAGAAGAAAGAGAATATATTGGGGTAAAGAATGAGAGAAAGAGTGTTATGAATAAATTGAATTAGTAGAGGAAAATAAAGTCGACCACAATGTAATTTAAAAAACAAGGTGGGTTGAAAAATATTCATTGAAGCTTCTCTTCTCTATTCACTTTGTTTAAAACACCTTTCTCTCTTCTCATACATCGTAAACCAGCCACTTTCTGTAATTAATGCCATCAATAACAAAAAAAAAATTAAATACATATGTTAGGGGTACAATTAGAAAATATTCATTAAATAGTGAGACAAATTTGAAATGTTATCTTATTTAAAAAAAAAAACCAAACCCCTTACCAAATATTAGCTTATATTTTGAACAGGAGGGAGTACTTTTTGTAGGTCACTGTTCTAACATGTTAACTACCACCTATATTAGTCGTTGTAACTTAAATCATTGTTTTATGTACCTGCTAAATGTGTTTTAGAATGTATTATGGCACATGATATGACAATTACAGCACATACTCCTGTTATCGAATTGAACAACTCAAGATTACTTAAAGATAAGTTCCAATTATATGTACTGACATAGGACTCGAGATAACAGTGATTGAAATTGAGTCGGAATATATTAAGAACATACTTTTATATGAAGCATTTGAGTCTAGGTGGAACGACTTAACTTCAATTGCATTATGAGTAATAGCAAGATTAAACATGCAATTTGGCTGACACGACATTGACTCAAAGTAAGGATGATGAGAACATTCTTTGTGAGAACAACATGACTCGAAATAGGAACCTTAGGCCCGGGTTGCATTCAACCAATTTTCAGGTTAATTTGTGCAACTTAACCAATCTTGGATTTAAGTTTATAAGAACTTATGAACACATTATCCAATACACATAGATTTATAGAAATCAATACTTAAAACTTAATCATGATAGAAAAGAAACTTTGTAAAACAATTAAAAATGCTACCATTGTTATAAA